AGAGGAACTTCAGGAAGGCCTTTCTGAAGAAGCAACGTTTGAGTGGAGACTTTCCAGGCAAAAGAACTAGAGGGTGCAAATGCCTTGCACTTCTAGGAGCAATCTTGGCATGCTCAGAGAACAGCAAGAAGGCTAGTACACCTGGAATGTTGCAAACAGAGAGTTTTCAGATGAGACTGGAGGAGTCAGCAGTGACCAGGTTACTCAGGGTTTTGTCAATCCTGATAAGGAGTTCAGCTTATGTTCTTGTGGATTGGGAAGCCACTGGAGAGTTCCAAGCAAGGAAGTTATTGATCTGGTTTGTGTTTTAGAAAGCTCATTTGGGTGGAGGGTGGGTCTGCAGCAAAAGTCAGAGTAGAAGCAGTAAGACCAAACTACAAAGCTATCGTTGTAACCTGGGTGAGAGTTGATGGTGGCTTGAAATTAGTGAGCAGTAGAGGAGGTGGAGAAAAAGAGATTGGTGATCTGCTATGGTGGTAGAACCCACAGGACTGGAGAGTGCATTGTATTCAGGGGCTGAGTCTGATGTGACCCTACGTCTGTTTGGTAGTCTTTTGACTGGCTCCCAAATTACTGGGATATTATACTTGTGAATTCAGAATTGAATTCTGAAACTTCTAGAATTAAATAAGTGTCTCCTATAATTGTTGTAATGGGAATTTACTGACAATTACATTCTGTACTGTAGGAACAGATAGAGAAACTTGGTTCATTGGTGATCTCATCCAGTCTCCTGGTCTGGTGGCTTTCAATATCATCTATGTGTTAGTGGCTCCCACATTTCTATCTTCAAGTCCAACCTCTTCCTTGAATTTCAGACTCCTATGTCCAGCTGCCCCCTTCCCATCAAAATGTAACATATCCAAACAAAACTCTTCATTTTGTTTACCCCTAACCTGTAGCCCCTACAGTCCTTCCTATCTCAGTTAGGACAGCTGTATTTTTCCAGTTGGTCAAGCAAAACCCTTGGAGTTGTTCCGAGTCCGTGCATTCTCTCTGTCTCTATCTGTCTGTCTCTCTGACTCCGTACAATCCTTCAGGAACCCTACACTCAAAATATATTGAGAAGTGGGGCACCTGGGTGGCTCAGTCAGTTGAGTATCTGACTCTTGGTTTTGGCACAGGTCATGATCTCTAGGTTATGAGCTCAAGCCCCATGTTGGGCTCTGCACTTTGCATGGAGTCTGCTTGAGATTCTCTCTCTCCTTCACCCTCTGTCCCAACCCCCTCCCCCGCTTGCTCTCTCTCTAAAACAAACAAATCTTTGAAAATATCTTTCAGAATTGACTACTCCTCAGTGCCCTCCACTGCCCCCACTGCCATCTAGGTCGCCATTATGCCTACTCTGGTCATTGCAGAAGACAGCTAACTACCCTCACCACTTTGGCCCTGCTCCTGCTTTCTCTTCTCAATATATCCATGAGAGTGACCTTTAGAAGATATAACTGAGATCCCATAACTGCTCTGTGTACAATATGCTCCAGTGGCTCTTAGTTTTCCTTCGTATGAAAGTCAAAGGCCCTACGTGACCTCATTCTCTGACCTCAGCTCCTACTCAGAGTATTAGGGAATACTTGTCTTCAAGACTCCATGCTAGAGGAAAGTTTCTTACAAAACATCTTTAATTGATTGAGTTTTAGTTCTTCTCCCAAAACACACACAAATAAAAGACATAATGGTCCAGCATTTTGGCTACAAATATTTCCATAAACAGAGCATGTCCTTTCAAGGAGTTCAAATGACAAGTGAGCCAAAATCCAGAGGATAAACAGTGGTAGGGGGCAGCATATTGGAGTTGTATCCCAGAATCCTCAGCCAAAGAAAATGTACACAAAAGAAGAACCGAATTCTCTTTCTCCTCTTCTGATCACTCTGTTTATTCTACTTTGTTTAGATTGACCAGTCTATGTGACTTCATCTTGTAACACTTAACTTATTACTGCTAATTTGTATTAGTTTATAAATATGAGCTATTATTTTCTTTACTCCTGTGGGGTGGGGAGGCTTTTGACTATTTATGAGTATGTTATTTTCCCAAGTTTATTATCACCAGGTTTTCTTTTAAGTAATTATCCCCTGTTCATTCTTGCCACAGTATCTTGTACACCTCACTTGCCAGTTGGAAGGGGACTGTTGAGTTGGAGGTCCTGAGCAGGGCAGGAACTCTGGCAGGGTGCTTGGAACAACACCTTCATCTTGTCCTTCAAAAAATGGTCTGACATGACCAATATATGTTTAGCTTTCAAAATTGACAGAGCGTGGTGAAATTAAGACTAGGTGGCATTGAGGTATTATACTAAGAAGAATTTCACTTTGTGTTTAGGTCATTCCAACAATTGTGTTTGAAATTACTGGGTCTTAATGGCCAAAACTCTATTATGGTTAAGGTTAAATTTATGCCAGTGTTTTCTTTTAAGTGAAACATGGGCTTAGTATTTTTTCTTATAAATTTAAAACATTTCAGATACAGAGAGCTCTAAAGCAAAAAGCAAAAAGTAGTCTCTCTTCCCAGAGATAGCTGTTTTAATACTTCAGTGTATTGTTGCTAGAATTTTTCTATGCCTTTCTTTTTTTCTTTTTTTTTAAGTGGGCTCCCCATCCAGCATGGAGCCCAACACGGGGCTTGATCTCATGACCCTAAGACCAAGATCAGAGCTTAGATGAAGAGTCGGATGTTTAACTGACTGAGCCACCCACGTGCCCCTGTGCCTTTTTATATAAATATATACTTCAAGTGAGATCACATTTCTACATACTATTTTGTAACCTCCTTTCAGCTCAACAATATATCCTGAACATTTTTTCCTAGACAGCATACGTGGATCTAAATAACACCCCCCCTTTTTTTTCTTTTAGGGGTGGGGAGGGGCAGAGGGGGAGCAAGAGAGAGAAACTTAAGCAGGCTCCACACGCAGGGCAGAGCCCAATGCAGGGCTCGATCTCACAGCTCTGAGATCGCGATCTGAGCTGAAATCAAGAGTCGGACACTTAACCGACTGAGCCACCCAGGCACCCCTAAATAACCCCTTTTAATGGCTACATCATAATAAATGATAAAGATACCTTTTATTTTTCCTAAAAGTATCTTAGTAGATGCATTGAATCTAGGCTCCCCTTAAAAATTTAGAAAATCATGCAATTTAAGAAACACAAGGTGGTTTTGTTTCACTGACCTGTAGTACCAACCATATTAAATTAAGAGGACCTGCAAATACTCTGAACAAAATGGTCTCAGTTACTGAATAATGAGCTCATTTGTTTCTATGGCAACTGCAGCAGATCTTTACTGAGCACCTACTAAGTGCCAGCATGACTCCAGGTGCTGGGGACACTGGTGAATTAGCTGTGTGGGATCTCTGCTCACAAAGTTCAAAAAACTAGTAAGAAATAAGAAAAATACCAGATATTAAAACCTAACCTGACATTATGTTTTCCTGGATAGCATTTAAGCTGACATTTTGGTCCTGGGCTCTGTAAATTGAGTCAAATTATATATTATAATTATATTTTCAGGTTTGAAGACAGTAACGAACAAATAAATTATGAATCACTTTTCTGCACCCTGAACTGGAGAATGAATCCAGTGCCTGAATTGGAAGCACCGTCGTACTTGAAAGAGGTAAAATTAACACCGGTTTTAAAAAACCAGCTGTGGCTACCTCCATTGCATTTTTAATATCCTTTATCTTAAAAATTATTTTTCAGCATAAAACATTAACACCAGGGCTTTTGGAAAAAGCACTGATGTATTTCTGGGCATTTGTGTTAAAGGCTAATTCACTTTCCATGCTGAGCGAACATCTGCTCTATAAGAACATGACTTTTCTTCTGCAGCTGAATTTTTTTTAACCTCAGTCGCATCCAATTATATGGAAAATAGGATAATAGGTTACAGTTATAAATAGATATAAACACTGTTATCAAGGGATTCTGCTAACATCATCATGAGCCACGAGAACAAATCTCAAATGGTGCATATGTCAAGAATCCCCAGAATGTCTGTGGCTGTGCATACAGGTTTGCCTTGGGTGAAACAGTATAGGATGAGGTGGCGGGGCGGGGGGGTTGCTGGGGGTGCATTTCACAGTGGAGCCAAATTTAAAATAAAAATCCAGTAGAAAAATGCTTGGTTAGGGAAAACAAAGTTCATGTGATCGGGTGGTGCTCTCAACATTGTGGAATTGTCTGAATTCTCTGAGATCTCTTTGGACCAATTGTCTTTAAGGAGTGGGTGGGTGGATGGCCGTTTGTTTATATTTTAACATGCTCCAGAAATTGATTTTCTTGGGAAAGTCCCTTGATAAAGCAAATGTCATGTGATTACTCCCAGAAAAGAGGCATTTATCCCTCCCGGTCTCTGCTGACCAACTCCGCTGACCAACTCATTCTGGCCTGAACTGGTCTAATGCCCCTGGGGAGTTCCCTCAGGCATGCGACTCTTCTGGAGTGGCAGGCGGCCTTAGAACTTCCAGATGGTTGGGAGACAGTGGCGGCCTTTGGAGTCCAACACAACTCCGGTTGAATTCTGCTGCACCACTTACTTAGCTGAGTGACTTCGGGTCACATAACTCGCTCATTTCTAAGTTTAATTCTCAGACAAATCGTGACTAAGGCACTCTCAGCAGGTTCTGTGCTCCATGCTGGGGGTCCAGAGATGAAGGTCATGATTGCTACCTTTTGGTCAGGGGGAGGGGCACCTGATGATGGTGGGATCAATACACTCGTGATTAGGAGTGTAGCGTGATACAGCCTGAAGAGGATGAAATGGGAAGAGGAGGAAGCTGTTGAGGTTGGAGGGGCAGGGGCAGAGGAGTCGGGAGACAGGAAGTCTCCTCAGGGGAGGCCGGGCTTGAAATTTCAGTGACAAATGGGAAGAGTCAGCCAGGGAGGGAAGTGGCATGGTAGGGAAAAGACATTCCCAACTGAGGCTCTGGGAGAGGGGGCACAGCATGGAGCTTGTGCAGAACCAGAAGGAATTGGTGTGGCTGGAATGAAGGCACAAAGGGAGGAGTGGAAAAGGCTGAGGCTGGGGAGGCCAGCAAGGGAGAACTTTGAATATTGTCCTACAAGGTCTGGAGACCATGGACAGATTTCAAGGAAGAGAGTGACGTGATCAGCTTGCTCTAGCTGGATGGTGGGTACTTCGGAGAGGGGCTGTGGACACAGGTAGACCCACTGGGAGGCTCTTGATGTCCCGTTGTCACCATAACAACTATAAACACTTACCGTGTGCTAAAACATTACCCTAAGGCCTGAAAATCTATCAACTGGTTTAACCCTCATAGCAACCCTACGAGGTAGGTGCGTTCAGGGTCCCCATTTTAGAAATGAGGAAGGTAAAGAAATGGCAAGCATGTGGTAGATTCAAGAATTAGAACTCAGGTCTTTTTTCTGAATGAAGAATAAAATAGAAAAAGAATAAAAAAGAAAAACTCTTCCTTTTTAATGTAATTATTATTGAAGATACTGGATTTAATTAACTAAAATCTGAGATACCATCACAAAAGCAAATTGGTACAGTCATTTGGTAACCTTATTAATTCTCATTCATGCAAATATTTAATGTATGTACAAAGAAAAATCATAGATGGAGTTTTTATTCTCACTTTCTCACTCAGTGTTAGAGTACTCTGTATCGTGTATCATCCAAATATTTGTCCCATTAGGACTTTTCTCCAGTCCCCCCGCCTCCTGCTCTGAGTCCTGGGCAGTTGACGTTTATGGGCTGCATCAATGGGTCCCCCAGTGCCCTGGCCCCCAATTGGGTTGGCCAGTGCAATGTACCAGCAAGAGAGGGGAGGGTGGGAGGAGAGGGAAATCCTTTCTGTCCCTGCCAGTTCCCATGGATTGACTGCCTCCTCCATACAGCTCCCTACCACTCCAGGCTCCAGTAACCACCATCTCTTGCCCCTTCCGGTGGTGACACTGGCTCCCTATTGCCATAGTCCTCGAGGGACTGGAGGATCCCCTGTTGGTTTTCCTAAATGCTTCCCACAACTTCATAAATAGTCACTTTATTAAATTCCTTTCAACTTACACGATTTGCTCATGTCCTCTGTTTCCTGTGGCACCCTGAATGATATGCACACACTTCTTGCTAGATGGTGGCTGCCTTTGTTGTACTTTTCCTTAGTTCCTCCTTCCCTCCTTTTCTGTTTTGCCCAATCCACCACCCAAATGTTCATCTGTATGTTGGGGGCTTCATCACTAATTGTACAAAATATGATTGTACCACATGCATTTATTGGTGGTGTGTTTCTCTTACTTAATGCTACATCATAGGCAATCTCTCTAGTTTAATATGTATAGACCTAAGCCATTCTTGAATAGCTAGCTATAATATGGATATAGAATAATTCATCATCCATTTTTCTGTTGATAGACATTCAAGTTGCTTTTACACTTTTGCCTCTGAAAGCGTGGTAGCTTATTACTTTAATTTTTATTTTCCTGATGACTGAATTTGAATGAAATTTAATGACCTTTGGGTATAACAACCCACAGTTAGACTTTTTTCATAACAACCCAGCATGCACAGATACAGCAGAACCAAGGTTTTGTGAAACAATACTATTCTGACTACATGTGGCACAATGCCATCTTGTCTTTCTTCCTCTGTACCTTTCTTCCCTCTTTTCCTTTTCTTCTCTCCCCTCCCTCACACCCCTTCTTTCTCTTTTTTGAATGTTGTTTGTGAACCATTAAATTGATTTAAGGGCCCACAGAAGGCTCACCACCCACACTAGAAGAGGAGCCACCCCATGGGAAGGCCCAAGATTCCCTCTCCCCTTAGCCACCCCTCCCCCATTTTATCCCTTGCATACTCTGTGACTGGGACATGACCCTGAGTTCAAATCCTCAGCTCTGTGATTGACTAATTGGGTGACTTTGTGCAAGTCACTCAACCTTTCAGGTTTCTTCCCCTCAACAATGGAGATAAGAGTAGTACTTCTGGGGCACCTGGGTGGCACAGAAGATTAAGCTTCTGACTCCTGGTTTCAGATCAGGTTGTGATCTGGGCTTATGGGATTGAGCCCCAGTCAGGCTTCCTGCTCAGTGTTGAGTGGGCTTAGGAGTCTCTCTTCCTCTCTCCCCACTCCTACGCTCTTGTGTGTGTGTGTGTGTGTGTGTGTGTGGTGGGGGGATGGTTCGTGCATACGTGCACGCTCTCTCTGAAAGAAAGACAGAGAGAAAGAAGTAAGAGGGGAGGGAAAGGGAAGGGAAGGGAAAGGAAAGAAAGAAAAAGAAAGAAAGAATAGAACTTCCATCTCGGTGGTTGTGAGGATTGAGTTGATACGCGTAAGACACTTATCACCACATCTGTCTAGCAATAAGGGTTTAAATGTTAGCTATTATTATCGTTTGTGAAACGGGGAGGTCTTACTTCCTCAGGTGAGGGTGCTGGGCCTTGAGCAGTCACCTTCCAAGGCTAAGAGCAGCAATTCTGTCTTTAAAGGTAGGAGAACAGTGAGGGAACAGGAACGTAGCATCAGAGAAAGGGCCCGTGCTTCAGCAGTGGGCTCTTCCAGTTGTTACTCATATACAGTGAGAACTTTACTCTTTGGGTCTCTTCTCATCTCGACTGAGCAAACCTAGAAGCAGTCCAGTCTGTGGGAGACATTTGGAAGGGGCCATTTCTTTCCCGCCGGTTTAAGAAAGACAGGAACATAGGTATAAAGTGGTACCAATTTAACTTAATAATGAGAACGTAACTAGATCCCAAAGTCTACAGCACTCTGGTATGCCTAAGCTTGTTATTGTTTCATAAAGAAGATATAAGATAGCTTGGGAATGTTACCAGCGAGTCTATAATCTCATGTGAAAATATTCAGTGGGAATGGGTTGAGCACGCTGTTGCATAGTTGGTAGAGCACAATCAGTAGTGAAAAGTACAGTCTTTACTGATCCATGTAAGTGTGCTTAAATGTTCCTGTCTGATGATGCCTGGAGACACTTGGGTTAGAGCCCACTGCACAGTTTGGGTTCTCCAGGAAGCAGGTGGAGTTTAATGTGCGAAAGGTTCATTTGGGAGTGTTCTTGGGATCAATACCTGTGGAAGGGAGAGGAAGGACACAGGAGTGGGTGGAGGGAGACATTGACCCAGCCCACAGAGTTCTGGAGCTAGAATGGCCTTTTAGAGCTGTCCTGAGATGGGCCCCAATGGCTTAGCCTTTATCCCAGTGCTTGCTTTAGGAAGGGGGTTGACCTTCGGTAATGTGACACTTTGCAGCCAAGACAGCTCTATAGCCGAGGCCATCCCTGAAGGGGGACTCTCAGCAGCTGGGGCCACCAAGTCCTTCCTCAAGGGGATCCTGGGTGGTACACCCTAGCTCGGCAACCAATCGTTCTTGAAGCTCTTGCTTTCAGTTTTTATTAAAAATAATTAGCGTACAGTATTGTATTAGTTTCAAGTGATTTTTGCACATTGCACAGTGGTCACCCAGTTAGCTACCATCTATCTGTCACCGTACAATGTTATTAACTATATTTCCTCTGCTGTACATTACTCCCGTCTTAGTTATTTTATAACTGGAAGATTGTATCTCTTAATTCCTTTTGCCTATTTCGTCCATTTTCCCCCCCCCTTACCCCCTCCCCTTCGGCGACCATCAATCTGTT